AGCGTAGTAGTGACCGCTAAACTTGCTGCTTTGCCCAAGTTCTAGCACTGTAACTACATTACATTCTGTTCTTTAATCACCATCGCTCACCTACCAGCCAGTTCAACTGAAAACCCAAAAATGTTCTTCACTTCCTTTTCATAAAATGCTGCACAGCATTACACGCGCTGCAAAGTAATTGCCACATTTCAGGCCAGCAGCGGCTGCAATTCTGTGGTAAATGACGTACGCACCTAAGGTTATGTACTCGGCAACCTTTGTGAAGGCACTCTGGGATCCATCTCAAACACAACGGGAGTCCACTGAGATGAAAAGCCCTTTCTAAATCTAAGAACCCCATCATTCAGTCAGAGCAATGGATATTGGCAATATATATTTAACTTTAAAATAACATTTGTTTAGCAATGATACAATACGGGTCCATCTGAATTACAGAACTATATTCCATAATCCATAAGTATTAAATCTTTCATTTCTCGGAACTGCTGTGAAACCTTGTAAACTTAGATCATCTGCAAGTGTCTTCAGTTCTTCTCACAGACACTCTGCATGTAGGAGTATGATGAATTGATAACCCCTCCAAGAATAAATGAAGAGGCATCGTGGGAGCAAGTAAAGTGCGAAGAAAATCATGCTGTGAATTCCTTGCTCATGGAAAACAGCAACCGAATTCTCTTTGACATCAAGGAGGGCCTGGATTTCACCCAAGCTCTCTACAGTACAACTGTCTGAGCTTCAGATCTTGTCTCAAACACAATCTGTCCACGTGTCCAAGCAATTCGTGCAAAAGGAATGCCCTGAAGCTATAAATGGAAACTACTCCACTGCACAACTTTGTCTCACCAGGAAACAAAGCACATGGAATATTCAGCACAAACCACTTTTGCAGATTTACAGACCAGAGGCTGAAAAGTCAGGTCAAACGCTGAGCAGGAAAGATAAAACGGCTTCAGCATCTAACAGTTAATTAGAGTAAGACCTGGATCATGCAGAGAAGGAGTCTTTGCAATGGAGGAGCAAGCTGAAATACAATGTAACAAAAATTGCTTAAAAACTATCAAAGCCCTAGCCAGCCATGCAGATAACAAGGACATAACCAAGTTTGAGGTAAACATTACTCATTTACTTAATACAGGTTTTGAAGAAGGTGGCATGTACATCACAAGGCTTTTATGATGGGCCTGGCTAATACTAACGTCTATTATAGTTGCTCTAATACATTATCTGGAAAGGGACAGAAACTAACAAGCTGCCAGATGACAAAAAAAGGATTACTTTGAGGTGCCAATGATCTTAAACCCTTCCCCAAGCCTCTCCCAACACCATTCCTCTGTATTTAGACTAAAAGTTCAAAATCCAGAACTATGCCTGCAGCTATTTTTCATTCAATTATATTTCATGGACAAAATGTTCAAAAGTGACCTATAACTTCAGAAAACAAAATCTCTGCAAACACACTCAGATATCCAGGGACTAACTGCAGAACTGCTGAGCACAACTTTCACTCGCTTGCTCAGTGCTTCATTTTGGCCTCGTGTCTACATGAGGACTTAGAACTCCGATTTTAAGGGGACACAGCTCAACAATTTTCAGTAGTTAGGTTGAAGGACACAAAATAAACACTTTTAGGGGCTTCTGCACTTAGCTTTTGGGAAAGAATCCAAGTCAGAGGGCAAAAAAGAAGTGATGAGAGAACCAAAGGTTCTGTCTCTTAAGTTGCAAGGCTTTAAAATACTGCAAATAATATATAAACACCCACACTAAAATATCTTACATAAGTCAGTAAATACATGTATGTACTCTAGGACTACAGCCATGTTGTTAAGCATTCTTCTGTTCTGTATTTCACCCCTAAGTGAAAACAATTCTCCCTTCTTTCATCTCACAAAAGGAGAGCACCTTTTTCTTCCTCTGAAGAACTACAGCTATGCTTGTATCTTCAATATAATAAATTTTTAGTGCTTGGGTATGAGGTTTGTTTTTCCATCACCTTATGACTACCAAGGAAACTGATTCAGTGCAGTAATCTAATGGAAAAAAATCTTTGTATGTTCATTTATTTTTTTAGATAAATTCCATTGTTAGTAGCATCATTATTATTACCTTATAAATATTCAGGTTCCTGAGTCCAATAAAATAAAATGTGTATTTCTTCATGCCAAAATATTTTCCAGGAGGCACTAGCCTACGCGCTGGAGCCTACCCCAGACAAGCATCATCATTCAGGTTACTCCAACATTATTTATCCAGTGACACTCATGATGAATCTGAGATGCCTGATCATGCAGTCTGCTAAGGCACAGTATGAAAACTCAACTTCAGAACTGAAGAAACCCAACAGCTGGAGGCCCAAACCTCACCTTGCGAGACGAGGGAGAGCACTGCTGAGCTCTAAGCTGAAGGACTATCGAGTTCAGTATGATGGGAATGCAAGAAGCGCACTGGAGGGTCAAGAGGTGCCACTGAATGAAGGAAAGCAGATGTTTGGCAATAGGATTCCAACTAAGTGTTGATTAAAATTTCAACTTTTCAATTAGAAGGTGGCTGTTTGAAGTGCTCAGCATAGTCTATTTAATTGTTTTCTGCCTCTGGAAACTCTGAGAAGGAAAAATAGCTAGTGAAAAACTTAAAGCCTTCAACACGGAGCCCAGAAATTCACAGAAGTTTTCACTTTTCATTTTTTTTAGGCAACAAAATTTGCTTACCCTTCTAACACTAGTATCAGTACAGTGAATCAGAGATACTACTGACAAAGTAATAATACAGAAATTAACACAGTGAGAATAATCAGTAGTTCTACTAAAGACAAGAAAAGTTTAAAGGAAGGTGAAACCTGTAAGGGGAGACCCTTGACATTCAAACGTAGATGCAAGGAACTACTGGTATCTCCTGTAACAGGGAAAGTGGAGAGAAAGGGCCTGAGCGGCGTCAGACACTGTTCTCAGGGAAGTGTGAATGACAAAAAGCCTTGGAGATGCTGACCCTACATTAAATGTTATCTCAGCTTCTGATTATTAACCCTTGATCTTTTTGAACATGTGCATAGTAATAGAATGAATATGCAGGAACCTGTATCTGAATTTGCCCAGTAACTTCACAAGGGGAAAAAACCATAAGCAAGTCAAGAAAAAAAAAAGTGTAATGAAAGGGAAGTGGTATACATTTCAAAGAATACTTTAAAATACTTCTAAATTTCACTACCTTTTGCCATGTAATTTATTCAACAAATAGTTATTCATATTAATTAGGCTTTAAAATAGAGAGATCATAAAAGGGCAAGGGTTTGTTTTTGTTTTCCTAACTCATTTTCTTAGATCTTGATCTATGGAACAGATGAAAATACAGTTTTTTGGAAAACATAATTCAGTTAAGTCAACAGCTCTATTCCAGATAGTTACATATCAAATGACATTAAACAAGCATTATAATCAGCAACAGTTCAGTCAACTGTATCTATTTCAGAGCTTCAATTCCAAGATTATCTGCTTCATATTTGATTTGGTAAAGCCTGTAACACAAGGCACATGAAGGGATCAAAGAGTAAAAAAAAAAACAAGATAAGAGAGTGAAAATAAACACTATTATCAAAATGAAACACTTATAAAGCTGCTGGGGAATGAAAAAAGGGTAAAGCAAAATTCTAATGAAAGACATCACATTTGCTGCTACTTGTTTACAAGTAAAAACACGTCTTTGTTTTGGGGAAGTACATGTCACCTTTGAGAAAATACACCGACTTCAATTTTTATAACCCCAAGTAAACTTCTCATCAAGAAAAAACAGGTCTGATTTGGGATTTTTTTTCTTCCAAAATCCTCCAACTGCAGGTATTCTCCAAAAACAAGCCAAATCCCACACCTCTTTAATAGATTTTACTCAATCCTTATTTGGACTAACTCCTAATCAGCTTGCTAGTTCTCACCTCCTCCAATCCTTTTACCACTCCTTCAGTTCAGCAATAGTTTGCCTAAGGTTGTATTAAGGTGCAGATTTGGCCGTACCTGAGCAGACTCCCAGGCAGCACAGACACACCTAAGAAATGCATGCAGGTGAAGTAGTCACCTATGCAGGGCCACAGTGCAGCACAGGGCCACGTCCTCAGAGTAAGGCTTTCAAAAGCACCTGGAAAACCTCCCTGATCATTTTCTGCTACATTTCAGACTGAAGTCTTACAAAAGACTTCCAATTTGAAGATGCGCACCCAGACAGACCAAATTAAAACCAGGAACAGCTCTCTGACAACTGGCTAAGCTGCACTATTGTCAAATACAATCAACTTTCTTGATTGGGCAAATAAAACACCTTGGCACATTCCCCAAACTGCCATTTTATCTCCCCCCCCAACTTTTTTTCTGCTTAAATGAAAGATTATCAATCCCTGGAATCCAAACACAAGAGATACATATACCATACAGAGCTCACCGTTAGTTACGTCAGTACAGAAACAGTTAAAAAAACCCAAACCATTCTGTATCCAAATCACTGATTTACTGAATTCAAATTCTTGAAAGTTATTCCTCAAATAAGATCTTCAAACGAAGTAAGGAACAACTTTTATGCACCATCAATCTTTTCTACTTAAGTTTGAAGCAATATACCTTTCCATCGCATAAGAGAGTATGAGAACACTGAAGCAAATTTAAAACCCTAATGCAAACTTCTATTAAATACTAAGCTGTGGACAATGTTAGCAGATGTCTCCATGCAAGTTCTGTCCTTGTAATGATAAATTATGCTGCTTGCAAAGATTTTGAAGAAGACAACCGACTTTTTAGCTTGTTTTATCTTATTAACTAACACAGTACAGTCAATACAGTGGGGAGGGATCCTGAATGTACTGTCCACCTGGGCTCAGAATGACTGAGTTCAAAACAAGATCCTTATAATACATATTTCTGCCAGTCCAACCAATATGTAAAACGCCTCTGTCATAAAACACTGCATTAAAACGTGTTTTCAAACTCATAACCTACTGCACTCTACAACAAAGGAGCACTTACTGCCATTGTCGTCAGAATCCTCACTGCTGCTAGGAAGCCGACGTCGTTTCATGATCTCCACGGGAAACAGCAGGCAGCCTGCAAAGCAGTGAGACAGCACTTAACCCAAGATAATAATACACAGTCATCAAGTTGTGCTTCTGATGGCATTCGAGGATTTACAGCACACAAAGGAAAACAAACAACTTTAAACAGCATCTGAAATGTGAACAGTGAATATCTCAAGGATGCTTAATTAGGCAGTCATCATACGAGCAGGTGAACAAAATCAGAGAGTATCAATGACAACCCCACCAACACTTTCACCCCAAAACAAAAGCGTATTTTGTTCTGAGAGGTCTTAAAATCACGAAATATCTGCAGTCGATGTGCTTAACTTCCCCTGCCCATTCTGACACTAGATCTGCAATACAATAACATTTTTACTGCTTATGTAAATATTTACTTTGGCTAGTTTGTTTTTGGAACCATTTTATTCCTGTTTAAAGTGCCAGATTTACAAAATCAAAGATTAAAGTCATCCACTTATATATAAAATAAGAAACATCAGCAGTAGCAAGCCAAGTTTTCCCAGATTAACTAAACATGCATCCCCTATGGCCTGGAAGGCACCACCCTCTAAGGTAAGACAGTTACTTCTCCTGCAGGCACATTTCTAGTGCCATGCCTAACACTTAACTGTTTTTCAGGAATCAGACCACCAACTGATTACACAGAAGCTCCTCCAAACTGCCAGACTTCTAGCAATATTGAGTTCAACTGCACATGAACCAGGGATGTAAAGGCAAAAAGTTCCGTATCTTTTTAACTGCTATTCACAGGGCGTTGGTATTTTCACATGTGTTTTCTGTGGAATGAAACCAAATTCAGAAAAATTAAGGAAGCTGTAAATAGCTAGTCAGCATTTACATGTAAAAAGCTATTAAAAAGTCTAAGTTGAAGAGCAGAAAAAATGTGACAAGGCAACTGCAGAAAGGCATATCCACCAGTTAAACTGACAAAGACTCTAGATGCACATCAAATCCCCTGAGTGTTTGCTTACCACATATCAATCATGATATCAACAAGGTCTGGGTGTTCTGCTAGCAGCAAAGCCCTCATACATACCTCTGGGGCACAGATTTGGAAAGCAGATGCCAAAATACTTTTTTGCTTCTAGGTAGGTGCAGAAAATCTAACCTCCTCATTTTAATGTGAGTTGGGATTTCCTTTCAACAAAACTCTTTTCATTGACCCTTCTGTATACAGTTAACTACTTCAACTTTGTTCACTGAGAACACATCTCACTGTAGTAAACTCAATAACGCTTTCAACTTTTGCAAGACTAATTCCCAAAATAAGGAAACCCAAAAAGCCTAACCAAAGCCTGACACTATTTCCAAAAAAGCACAAAAATATCTTATCTTCCAAAAGTGATTCATATAAAAAGAAATAAGCTTTTTTTTTTTTGAGGGAATTCATTTTATCGTCACTAGCAAATCACAAGCAACTGAACCTGAGACTCTATTTCACACTTCCAGTGAACTTAATATAGTTGTAAGAGCCCGAACATTGCACGATTGCCTCCTTTTTCATATTATACATGCAAACAGAGGTGGGAGGAAGCCTCCCTCCCTCAGAGTGACTTTCCAGAGTGGGATTTAATATGGCTGTCTTTGAAACATGTAATAGTTTTGAGCTGCAAACTTTGCTCACTGAAGGTAAAGAGAAGCTGAATGTTTCACTTCACGAAGACCTTTTGTCACCATTTCACAGAGTAGAAGTTCACACATAATGCCTGATGCCAGAGAATAAAGAATCATAAATGACAACCTCTTACAGTGCCAGAAGAATTCTCTGCAAAAGAATTGCTTTGAAGCAGACCAGAACTTTGTGTGTATGGCAGACGGAAATGCTGCCAATGAATAAATACACAGACCAGCCTGGACCAGCAAAATCATCTGAATACAGATGTGGTATAAATGTAGTAGATCCAGAGCCAAGTTCTGATACGGTCACTTATAAGTACAGAAAGCCAACATTCAGATCCAAAACAGGCTAAGACAGAACTGAAAAATCAATTAGCTGCTACAAGGCCAAAACCAGGGGGATAAATATCTATTCTGTAAGGTATTTTTTCTAGTTCTTCACATACTTTTCCTGTAATAGAAAAAAATATTAACAATAGCAATGTAAAAAAACATACTCACTTAGAATGGAAATATCCCCCATAAACAAAGTAAACAGGATATGGAAGAAAATAAAGAAAAATAAGGCTATCTCAGAAATGTAACTTGTATATTCCTGGTCAAAATCCTCACTTCTTGGTTCATTCCCACATGGTCTGAAAAGTACTATGCACCGCAAAGCAAAATAACATAGTGTATATACACCGAGACACACTCATGAGCTTGCAATGAACAAGAAAATTCAAAATTCTGCTCCTCCACATCTTTTTGGATAAGTGTATTTTGAGTTCATCTTCTCCTAGCCATACTTTCTGCAAATTCACAAAATAAGGAAGGACCCGGAAGCTTTTCCCTCCTACCACATGTCTTTAAAGAACAAACTAAACATCTTTTTAGTTGTTGTTGTTTAAAGGAGAGAGTGGTATTCACACCTCCCAATCCAAGCACTCCCCGCAGTTCTTCAGGAAATAAGAGAAGCCAGAACAGAAGCCACTTTCCTGGAGTATGGAGTATTAGATAAGGCAGCTAATTTCCTTGTCCACTCCAGTCATGCTTCTGCAGTTGGCCACATTGAAAAGCCTGTGTTCTCAAAAGTAACGTTAAAAGAAATACCCCATTTGATGAAGCTTCTGTGAGATTCCTTTATAGATGCGTGGCGGGGGCGGGGGGGAAGAATTAAAATCCAGAGATCTCATTTTCCCATCTTTGAACCTAACCTGAGTTTACGGGGAGCTAAATCCCAGATGGAAAAGCAGCATTTGGCTTCTTAAAGCAAGTCTCAAACCTCCTAAGATTAACCCCCTAGAGTTTTTGTCATTAGAAGTAATAAAACAGCTTTTTTCAACTTCTAAAATCATTTTAAATTGCTCCCACCAGATGTTCATATCCACAGTTCAGAACACACGTTCTAGAGATAACACTAGAACAGCTAATAAGAATTACAACCACACAGATTGAAATGCTTGCTGCTCTTAAGGGTATCACAGTGCCTCTGCCTCAAAGACTATCGGTTTCTATCAGGTGATGGTGACCTCAAAGTCACGCAAGAACGGCATTAAAAATAAACCCGGATTATGGGTAGTGATGGTTAGGTGCAGACTGAAGGCGCGGGCTTTCCCTGTTCAACCACAGACATACACATTTTCCCAGCTTGTTTAGAGAATACTGTGAATTCAAGTAACACTTTTTTAATCTTCAAGGAAAAAAAAAACAACAAACATAGTAACTCATTGTTCATGGGACATCCTTAATTAAAAATAAGGAGGTATTTTTATACTGGAAAAGGCAGAATGGAAAAACTATCAAACTTTTCAGCAAAATTACTTATCTCATTCTCTTTCCTTTCCTAATCTGAGATTTGAGTGCCCGCAATGTTACTTTTCTTTGAAATTCTCACTCTTCACAGTCATGAAAATGCTGGTATTTTTCACTTGACTTTATTTTGACATACACTTAATATACTCAGGTGCATATACAATGCATCTGATCCAACTCTGATCCCATTAAAACATATTCTGAAACTGAAGCAGGTCTGTCAATTCCAAGGGGTCAGAAGTAAAGGCAGGTTCATCAAGACTGATTGTACCACAGCTAGTTTAGTGGTACAAATTGGCCATGATCACTATGTGTGTAAGCAAAGAGAATTCACATGTAAACATAAAAAGAGTGAAACATTCAAGCCAAGCTTTAAGATTCATACCAATAATAAGTAAAAACTATGCACTCAGCCCGCAACACTTGCAGGACAGGAAGAGCCCGCCCAGGTTACTGAGCTCAATTCCCAACAACTGCATGCAACCACATAATTGCTGTTTAGTCCAGAAGTTTCCACAATACGTTCACTGCACCCACACACGCCACAGAACAACCCCCTTCGCAAAATGAATGCTACCCTGAAGCAAGGAAGCAGCCAACCAAGCAGTGCCCTTGAACCCTGTAGAAATCTACAGCTGTTTTTCCCAAATTCTTACACCAGCCCCGAAAGGACATTTGCCCATATACTGTTCACCTCCAGCAGAAGCCCAACACTTGAGAAGCTACAACAGAGTCCAGCAGCCCTAATGTCAAACAAAGGCTGCTGCATCACCAAGCCAAACATTCCCTGAGTTTTTAGTGACACATGCAAATTCCTAATAACCCAGCAACTTTTGTACATCGTTTCAGTTTCATTTCCTTGAAAGATGAACGTTTCTTCATGTTAAAACCATCCTTTCAGAAATCAGACAGACCAACACATAGCATGCTGATAGTTACTTCTCCTGAGGACTCTACTGTAACATTTACCCATTTATTGGGGGTGGAGGGGGGAGAAGTGGGCTCAGGCGGATGCCAGGCTTCAACCAAACACAGCTTTATAGAAACAGCCGTGACGCTGCTGGCAATGTTACCCCATTTCCAAGGGTGGGCAAAGCATCTAAGAGCGCTTCATGCAATCACGCCACCACAATAAATGGCATAGATGGGGCAGAGGCCATGACTTTTTAGCCACCAAGCACCCTCAGATGAGCTAGCCATACCCGGGCAGGACTGGTGAGGCTGGCACAGCTTGCAACACGCTCTGCTGCACAGCTCCAGAGGCTGAAGGCACTGTGCTTTACAGAGACACATCACCAGTGGCTTTTCCATCCTTTTTCATCATGCTAGCTCTGAAAGCTAAGCTCTGGGTTTTACTCTTGATTAGGTACAAACTTCAAACATACAAATGTAACTCTGGACTTACATGATACAATTGCTCGGATCGTTTTTAAAGGCAAGATTACAACGCCTGAAATGTTTCTTCTGGCTAGTGTATTTTGGAGAGAGCGCTAAGCCTTTTTCAAAATACTTGTAAAACGCTATGCAAATGAAATGACTAGATGATAATCCAATATAATCAATGTCAGGCCACAAAATAAGATTTGGATTTACATATCCTTGTGGAGGTAAGCAACAAACATCTAACTCCACACGAATAACTAGATACAGTTAGGAATACAGACAATTCTGCCTACTTCCCAGTATTTGCTGGCAGTTACAGTGCAATGGGTCAGAATCAGCAACATGACACAGTACAGCAAATTCACTATTTTTACCAGTATGCATTATCATGCTCCTGCGTTCTTACCTCTGCAGGAGATTATTTTAAAAGAAGCAACAAAAACCACACTGGACAGCAATGCCAAGATCCTTCCTTTTACTTTTTTTCCTCCTGCACTGAAGTCCCACGAGTTGCACAGATACGTGAAAAAAAATCCGAATCCTTTTTCCTAGCTTCCTCAGAGCAGAAATCCAGACATTACCCCATAAAACTGGCATGGCAGTGTGCACACACGTACACCCATGTGCAACACACCACAGAACTTTTTATGCTACTATTGCACAGTTAAGAACACCGTATACTTTTTCACTCAGCTTGACCCCAAGTAGAGAGATGATCAAAGAGAAAGATGTAAAGTGTGTCAGTCTTTGTTATGCAAATAGCTAAACAGAACCAGATTTTTAAAAATAATTATACATGAAAAAATCTACATCCTCGGGTCAAAGGTTTTACATAGCACAATTCTTACTGAAGAATTTTTAAGGGCTGTATAAACCTCTGGGAAAAAAGAGTGTAT